GGGACTAATCAGAAAATTTGATTAGAATTAATCAGTTTGAAAAATAACATAAGGCTTATATAAGAATTTTCTTGCAAAAACTGATAAGTTTTTCGAGTATTAAGGGTTTATTTTGGCGTTAAAGATTGGAGATAATCTTATTTGATATGGGACGCTCTGTAGTACATTTTACAACATTGTTTACGATGTACAAGGTATAATTTTTAAAAATCTATGTACAGTGTAATGTGTACAAATATAGATCCAGGTTCAATTGTACAGATCATTAACAGATCAATATACCAGACTTTTAGACTCAAGTTATGCCTTTAAATAGTCCATTGTACTGTAGACTGACCCATTTCACTTCATAAGTGATTTAATAAATTTCTTTTGAACTTATTTGCTTTGTATCAACATCAAGTGCACTTAATTATTGCTTTAATGTCGTCTTCCTATTCCTCAGTTTATTGGTTCTGACTGTAGTTACTACTTTGTAAAGAATGTTGTACTCAGGAATATAAACTTCAACCAAACGTTACATTTGAGACTTGATGTTTTTTTCTGTGCTTTCAAAATCAACGGAGAAAGAAAGAATTTCGTGAAGATTTTGATTTAACTAAAATCTTCTTAATTATTTTCTAGATTGCTTAAGCTACAATTGACGTAAACCACCCCTTTTTCACTCTTTTTGTAATTAAATATATTTCTGACTCACCCTCTTCCTGCTTTATCCTTAGGTTCTGGTTGATCTGTCTGATCTTCTACAATCTGTTGATCCTGATCTCCAGGTTCCTCTGTTATACCCCCCTCTTCATCTTCTCTTACAGCAATCTTCTTCTTTATTCTTCTTCTTCCTTTACTCTGTTCTACACTTCCCTCTGCTAGAAGTATACAGAGACACAAACATAAAATAATCCTCATTTTATTAAACAAATCTGAAATGTATAGTTTTAAATTTAGACCTTAGATATTTCAAGCTATGAATTCTGTTAGATCAAATAATCTAAGTTTCAAATATTAAAGGTTTACACCATCGGGTAGCAAAGATAAAGGGATTGGAAAATTTAATTTTTTCGTAAAGATTTTTATTTTATAGAATACATGTTCGTTTTTTTTATTTTATAGAGTACATGTTCGTTTTTTTATTTTATAGAATACATGTTTTTTATTTTTTATTTTATAGAATACATGTTCGTTTTTTATTTTATAGAATACATGTTCGTTTTTTTTTATTTTATAGAATACATGTTCGTTTTTTATTTTATAGAATACATGTTCGTTTTTTGTTTTATAGAATACATGTTCGTTTTTTATTTTTAAGTTTTTTTTCAATAAAAGTTTAAGATGAGTTCCTTTTATAACTCTTGTCTACACTCATGATATAAACACTGATTTTTCAGCAAATTCAAATTATATTTTTTTATTTAAGGGAGGGGCATTTTTGATGCACAATTTTCCCCAATCAACCTTCTTTAATTTCAACTTTAAAAATCCAAAGATATTTTATTTACTGTTATTCACTTTATTCCATCCTTAGATAAATCCACGTCTGATCAAGACGAAGAGTTTTCTTTGACTGACTATAAGACGAGTCTAGGATGAAAGATCTAGGATGAAAAGAAGATATTTGTTGCAACTGCGCTGCAACACTGACACCAACGGTTCCAGTGGCTGGTCAGATTGTTTCTGTATTCAAACACTCGCGTTGAAATCCCCTCCCTACCACCACGTTCCCCCCTCCACCTCCCCCAACCCTTTATACCCTTCCTCCCCTCCCAACTTCACGCGACACTGGATATGCTTGTTAAGCACAGCAGCTATTGCTTCGCCTTTTTTTACTAGTGATCACTGATTTCACTGATTTGCGGAAGTATGTCCTTATATCCTGAAGTCCTGGAGTCCTGATTACGTCCTCATTCTGTAAATTACATCAACAGAGCAGGGTTGGATTATGCTTTTTCATATTTTCAAAAAAAATAAAAGTCTGTATTTATCCTTAAAGAATAACGATTTTTTAAAACTTTGAGTTTAATCATAGTTTTCGAATCTCTTTAGATATCTATCTAAATGTATTTGCATCCTATATTTGAGTTTTATATATAATAACTATCTAGATCCGATCAAATATTTAGTTTAAATAATAATCCAATTTAAAATAAATTGATTTCAGATAGAGCCATCGACTACACTATGATAAAAAGCATTCATGTTTTTATTTCTTACTTTATAATAACACAGTGTTTATGCCAATAAGATGTAAAAATAATTTTTATTTGTTTTTGTTTTGTTTTAAATACAAATCTTTACTTTAGAATCTTAGACACAATGTTAAATTTATTGATATTGATTTTTTTTCAGGGGGAAATAAAATCCAGGAACCAGGAAGAGAAACTCCAGGAACCAGGAATATAAACTCCTATACTATACTATAAACTCCAGGAACCAGGAATATAAACTCCAGGAACCAGGAACATAAAATCCAGGAACCAGGAATATAAACTCCAGGAACCAGGAAGAGAAACTCCAGGAACCATGAATATAAACTCCTATACTATACTATAAACTCCAGGAACCAGGAATTTAAACTCCATGCAGGAACCATGGAACATAAAATCCAGGAACCAGGAATATAAACTCCAGGAACCAGGAACATAAAATCCAGGAACCAGGAATATAAACTCCAGGAACCAGGAATATAAACTCCAGGAACCAGATATATTAACTCCAGGAAACAGAAATATTAACTCCAGGAACCAGGAATATAAACTCTAGGAACCAGTCATATAAACTCCAGGAACCAGGAATATTAACTCCAGGAACCAGGAATATGAACTCCAGGAAACAGGAATATAAACTCCAGGAACCAGTAATATAAACTCCAGGAACCAGAAATATTAACTCCAGGAACCAGGAATATAAACTCCAGGAACCAGGAATATAAACTCCAGGAACCAGGAATATGAACTCCAGGACCCAGGAATATGAACTCCAGGAACCAGTAATATAAACTCCAGGGACCAGATATAATCTTGTAATAAATTAAACATTAGAATTAGTAAAGTTTAGTTCTGCTTCTAGTTCTTCTCATTAAAGCGTTATCATGACATTATGCTTCCCGGTCACAGTTGAGAAATAATAAATTAGTTGTTTCCTCTTCCTAATTCCTCAATATATTCCTTGCTTGACAAAATACTTCTTATATAATGCTTGACATAATTCAATACCTCTTTAAAATTTTATATTATGCTACTCTTTTTAGATTTATATACCATCATTATTGATATTTTTATCCACGATGATCTATCATTTGTCAGGGCAGAAGAAAAGTATTGTTTAACAAAAAACCTGTTCTTTAAAACCAATCAAAGTATACTGGCTTTCTCAATATTCCGTCTCCGTCCTCCCATATTCTATCTTTACTCTCTCTCTCTCTCCGTCCTACCAAAGTTCTATCTTTACTCCCTCTCTCCGTCCTATCTTTACTCCCTCTCTCCATCCTACCAAGTAGTTTTATCTTTACTCCCTCTCTCCGTCCTACCAAAGTTTTATCTTTACTCCCTCTCTCCGTCCTACCAAAGTTCTATCTTTACTCCCTATCTCAGTCCTACCAAAGTTTTATCTTTACTCCCTCTTTCCGTCCTACCATAGTTCATTATTCCTTATTTCCACGTCATTCTTCCTTCCTTATTCATTCACTAATTATTGTTAGAACCTCCCACCCTACAGCAATATAAATTATTGTTAAAAATATTAAACTTCCTGCTGAATTTAACGCTTCAGCTCCATTCCTTACAAGTGTATAGCTTCTTAAATCAGATTGCTGAAGTAATAAAACATTTCAGTATTTTCAATTATTTTATGTTCAAGAGTTTAGTTGATATATCCAGAACTTTTTATGCAGGAGGTGATAAAATGGCAGCGAAAAGTGTAACGAAATATAATTATTTTGTAATGTCAATAGCTATCATAGACATTTTTATAACGATTACTAAGTAAAGACAGCGCTTATACCCTCGGACTAAAACCCTTAGCGAGATCTATATTTCTCTTGTACTGGTAGAAGGAAAATTGAATAACGTTTAAGAAATTAATTCTCATGATCTAGGGATGTTTTGAGAATGAGGCAAGAATTTATTTATCTCAATCTTGGGACATAAATCATGTAGATGAATTAAAATCTTAACTCAATATCAAAACGTCATATTTTATCCCTTGACCAAGGTATAAAATATCAAAAAATAAATAATTGCGACTGAAATTTTCATTTTTGTAAAAAAAAACTCTAAACTTATTAACCAATCTGTTAAAAAAAATCTGTTAAAAACAATCTGTTACTTGGTTTAATCCGAGGATCAAGGTCGTCTTAACCTAGAGAAGTTAGGATACAAGATTGAACCTAGTGAAGTAAACATACTATAGGTTAAACCTAGAGAGGGTAGATACCAGGTTAAACCTTGAAAAGGTTAGATACGAGGTTAAACCTAAGATAAGATACCAGGTTAAACCTAGAAGAGGTTAGATACCAGGTTAAACCTAGAAGAGATTAGATACAAGGTTAAACCTAGAGAAGGTTAGATACAAGATTAAAACTAGAGAAGGTTAGATACCAGGTTAAACCTAGAGAAGTTTAAATACAAGGATAAACCTAGAGAAGGTCAGATACAAGGTTAAACCTAGAGAAGATACATTCCAGGTTAAACCAAGAGAAGGTTAGATACCAGTTTGAACCGAGAATAGGTTAGACACCAGGTTAAACCTAGAATAGGTTAGATACCAATTTAAACCTAGAGAAGGTTAGATACCAGGTTAAACCAAGAGAAGGTTAGATACCAGGTTAAACCTAGAGAAGGTTAGATACCAGGGCAAACCTAGAGAATGTTAGATACCAGGTTAAACCTAGAATAGGTTAGATACCAGGTTAAACCTAGAGAAGGTTAATTACCTGGTTAAACCTAGGGAAGGTTAGATACCAGGTTAAACCTAGAATAGGTTAAATACCACGTTAAGCCTAGAGAAGGTTAGATACCACGTTAAACCTAGAGAAGGTTAGATACCTGGTTAAACCTAGTATAGGTTAGACACCAGGTTAAACCTAAAAGTGGTTAGATACCACGTTAAGCCTAGAGAAGGTTAGATACCACGTTAAGCCTAGAGGAGGTTAGATACCAGGTTAACCTAGAGAAGGTTAGATACCAGGTTAAACCTAGAAGAGGTTAGATACAAGGTTAAACCTAGAGAAAGTTAAATACAAGGTTAAATCTAGAGAAGCTCAGATACAAGGTTAAACCTAGAGGAGGTACATTTCAGGTTAAACCTAGAGAAGGTTTGATACCAGGTTAAACCTAGAAGAGGTTAGATACAACCTAGAGAAGGTTAAATACAAGAATAAACCTAGAGAATGTAGATACCAGCTTAAGCCTCGAGAATGTAGATACCAGGTTAAACCTAGAGAAGGTTAGATACCAGGTTAAGCCTAGAGAAGGTTAGATACCAGTTTAAATCTAGAAAAGGTAGATACCGGGTTAACCCTAGAGAAGGTCGGATACCAGGCTAAACTTAGAATAGGTTAGATACAAGGTTAAGCATAGAGAAGGTTAAATACAAGAATAAACCTAGAGAATGTATATACCAGGTTAAACTTAGAGAATGTAGATACCAGGTTAAGTCTAGAGAAGGTTAGATACCAGTTAAGTCTAGAGAAGGTTAGATACCAGGTTAAACCTAGAAGAGGTTAGATACCAGGTTTAACTTAGAAGAGTTTAGATACCAGGTTAAGCCTAGAGAAGGTAGATAACAAGTTTAACCTAGAGAAGGTTAGATACCAGGTTAAGCCTAGAAGAGGATAGATACCAGGTTAAACCTAGAGAAGGCTAGATACAAGGTTGAACCTAGAGGAGGTTAGATACCAGGTTAAACCTAGAGAAGGTTAGATACAAGGTTAAGCCTAGAGAAGGTAAGATACCAGGGTATAAATAGGGAAGTTAGATACCAGGTTAAGCCTAGAGAAGGTAAGATACCAGGGTATAAATAGAGAAGTTAGATAGCAGGTTAAACATAGAAGAGGTTATATACCAGTTTAAACCCAGAGAAGTTTAGATTACAGGTAAAACCTAGGGAAGGTTAGATACCAGGTTAAACATAGAAGAGGTTAGATACCAGGCTAAATCTAGAGAAGATTAGATACTAGGCTAAACCTAGAGAAGATACGCGGTCAAACCTAGAGAAGGTTAGATACCAGTTTAAATCTAGAGAAGGTTAGATAACAGGTTAAACCTAGAGAAGGTTAGATACCAGGTTTAACTTAGAGATGGTTAGATACCAGGTTAAACCTAGAGAAGGTTAGATACCAGGTTAAACCTAAGGAAGGTTAAATTCCAGGTTAAACCTAGAGCAGGTTAGATACAAGATTAAAACTAGAGAAGGTTAGATACCTGGTTAAACATAGAAGAGGTTAGATACAAGGTTAAGCCTAGAGAAGTTTAAATACAAGGATAAATTTAGAGAAGGAAAGATACAAGGTTAAACCTAGGAAAGATACATTCCAAGTTAAACCTAGAGAAGGTTAGATACCAGTTTAAACCTAGAATAGGTTAGACACCAGGTTAAACCTAGAGAAGGTTAGATACCAGGTTAAACCTAGAAGAAGTTAACACCAAGTTAAACATAGAGAATGTGAGATACTAGGGTAAACTTTAGAGAAGGTTATATATAGGGTCAGACCCAGAGAAGGTTGTGTTATTATACAGCATACTGATACTGATACCAGATCTCGATATGCTCCTGCTCCTGACCTTACAACAGATCTATCCTATCTACCCCAGACCCCGGAGAAAATCATTACGAGATTTATAATTTTTCAAAATATATTTTGAGAGAAATTGTGAAGATACCAAGTAAATTTAGAAATAATTTGCTACAAGTGTCTTAGCTTTACAAACAATTTGTTGTAAAATTGACAAAATAAAAACTCTTCGCTGTAAGAGGGTCTTTCCCCCTAGAATTTTCAGATATTCCTGGTGTAGAATGCCGCAAATAATTCAAAGCTTATAGAACTTAATCTTTTCTTGTTAATTATAGTGAAAACCATAGAAAATTTCCAAATTATAGGTATGCAAAATATATTTTGCTATTTATTTTATATCTCAAAGGTTAGCCATTACGGAGACAGAAGAGATTTAAGTTTGACCTAAAATAAAGTTTGACATCATTCTCATGGGTTTGAATATTCCAATATGATGTAATGATTGCAATACTTTAGTCCATCCAAATTTTATGCCCTATAGCGGCCATATTTTTAACAGATAGTTTTATCCTCGAGAATTGGAAAAACGCATAAGAATCGAAGGACGAGGATTCCAAGGTGGCTCGGACGAGAAAATGAGGAGAATGTTGCTCGAACGAGAAATTGTTGTGACTGGCAGTCCTCCCCTCCTTAACCTACCTTTAAATAACAAGGAGGGAAAAATCTTCAATATTAACAGAGAAAATAGCATTACAGAAAATATCGGTCGGTTGGTATAAAACTCACATCTTTGTCATTAACGCTTGAAGTAAAAAAAACAGTTGGAAACGGGGTGAATTTCCCGTTGGAGTTTATTAAAAGTCTGTGTTTATGTTTCAAGTATCTTGAAGAATTGAATCTGATGCGGATGATGCAAGAATAAAGGATAAAATCTGAAGAAAATATGCTCTAACGGATAAGAGAACAGTAAATTCAAGGTTCAAATTCAAGGACTTGCAGTTTGTATGATATGACGAACAGAATTGGGGAGATAAGGGGGGGGAGTCAATTCTACAATTTTACCCCCCCCCCCTCGCATATACACTAAAACTGTGTCTGACTGAAAGATTTAAGAAATGTGTAAATTTATTTTACAATTGTACGTTTATAATGACAATATCAAATGTTTCTACAAACTGGAGATTTGCAACGGAAAATCAGTGAACTTTACTATTTTAAACAAATCAAAGCATTGAAGAAATATTAAAAAATTAAATATTTCTGGTCCGTCATGATCATGATGCCTGTAACAGAAATAAAGCTATTTTTTAGAATTGTAACAAAAACATTCCGGGTTCAGGATCTGCTTGATCAAACATGATCTAGAATAAGGCCGGTGCTGTGAAACAGGGTGTCCAAAAATGATTAAAAATCAACAAGACTCTAAACTAAAATTTCTTTGGACATCCTGCTTTAAGAGTTTTTGAACAAAGGAATTGAGTCATTGCCACAAACTCTAATTTTCTAATCCCTATATCTTTAATATCAAATCATGTAAACTTTTTATATTTCAAACTTAAATTATTTTATCCAACAGAAATCATAGTTTGAAATATGCAAGGTCTACGACATTGAATTGCAAAGATATAGGAATTAGTCAATCAAAGTTTGTGGCAAAGATTACATTCCTCTGAGTTTTTGCCATGGTCTCAACCATTTTGGAACACCCTGGGCAAAAAAGAATTAAAATAAACGGTGTCAAAATCACAAAGCTGAGCTAACAATACATATTTACAGGTATGCTTAATAAAGAATATCACAACTAATTAATTTTTAGAAATCTAAAAAGAGATTGTTTCCATTTTATGCTCAATACAATAGGACAGTTTTTGGTACAATTGGAGCAACTATTCAATTCATAACAGCTTATTATTTAATATTAATGCATTGTATTCTTATTTGTTCTTTGGTCATATAATACAGTTAAACCCTAAATGAGCCATACTTCGAAAGAATTTATCAAATGTCGTCTTGACAATTTTTCAATGGGTTTTATACTATTTTACGTAAATCTCAGTGTTTGCGAAAATAAATAAATAGCCATGAATATGCGGGAACAGTTTTAAAGAGCTCCATATAATCATTTAATTAAAAAACTAAATATCTGCAAACACTCCATTATCAGAAAGTGAAGAATACGACATTTGTTGAATTCTTTCGATGTATGGCTTATTTAGGGTTTAACTGTAGGTAGGGGAAGACGTTAAAATGGATAAATGAAGCATTAAACACTTGTTTGTAGATTTTCGTAATTATTTTACAGCTCTCAAACTTCTCAAGAGAACTTCATTGATCTTGGTTGTTTTAATCACAAGGCCTTAGTTTTTTTAAGGTCATTCTAACATACAAACTTTTGGGAAGGGCCGCTTTTTTGAGGGAAGGCAGGCCTTTTTTTCTTGATATACTAGAAATAACAAAACACCGGTTCCTTTGGAAGCTACAAATCAATCAGTGGTATCATAAACAAAAAAGATAAGCTTTACAGGTAATTCTTATAAGAAACTATTAAGTATGAAAAATTGTACGTAAGTGTTAACTCCGACTTAGGACTAGATATTACAGGACTAGGACTAGGACTAGGAGAAGGACAAACTTGGGAAAATTGATTAATATGTTGTAGGATAAAGACAGGAGTAGGACAAGAAAAGAAGTAAGACAATGACAGGAGTAGGATAAGGACAGGAGTAGGATAAGGACAGGAGTAGGACAAGAACAGGAGTAGGACAAGAACAGGAGTAGGACAAGAACAGGTGTAGGACAAGGACATGAGTAAGACAATGACAGGAGTAGGCAAAGGACAGGAGTAGGCAAAGGACAGGAGTAGGACAAGGACAGGAGAAGGGCAATTTTTGGAGTAGGACAAGTTTAAGAGTAGGAGAAGTTTAGGAGTAGAAAAAGGAAAGGAGTGGGCTAGAACAGGAGTAGGACTAGCACAGGAGTAGGACAAGGATATGAGCGGGACTAGGACAGAAACAAGGACTAATAATTATTGTATAAATGGGTTTCCTAGGATTCAAGATTTTTTTTGTGGGTTTCCAAATGTGTTTCTCCTGGCATAAGAGAAGCTAGCTCCTTGGTTTCTAAAACGGGTTTCTCCTGCAAGATAAGAGAAGCTTGCTCCTGGGTTTCCAAAAGGGTTTCTACTAAGTATCGGATTGACCCTCCTGGAATTCATGTCAGTTCATATCTGCGAGCATCAAGCTTGCATAAACAGTCATCACCATCTTGTGTTTCACCTAAAATAGAACAAGAGCATAACTATACATTTTTTAAAACATGTTGGGAAAACGTGATGAATTAGTTTGGTCTAAAACAACGGAAAAGTATTGCTTTGAGCAAATAGTTTTTTACAAATATCATTGAAATCAGAATTATTTACTGTAAATACTTCAAGTCATTCTTCCTCCTTCTTCTACTTCCGTTAGTTATTATATCATGTTTCCACAAGATTGGATCCAATATATGATTAGAGAAGCTAAAAACCATGTCAGACCATGAAATGACTTTATTAGATTTTATCATTGGCATTTGTTAAACAACATTTTGCGGACTTTATAACGGAGTTTCAGTGGTTTCATACAAACAAAATCCTTTCGTATCGTATCTTATTGGCTTAATAGATTTGATCGGGTTGATCAGTGAAATATTAGGGTTGTATTGCAGATTGAATTATATCAGGGTTGGATTGCAGATTGAAATATATCAAGGTTGGTTTGGAGGTTGAAATATCAGGGTTGGATTGGAGGTTGAAATATATCAGGGTTGGATTGGAGGTTGAAGTATGAGGGTTAGATTTGTGGTTGAAATATGATGGTTGGATTGGAGGTTGAAATATGAGGGTTGTATTTGTGGTTAAAATATATCAGGGTTGGATTGGAGGTTGAAATATATCAGGGTTGGATTGGAGGTTGAAATATATCAGGGTTGGATTAGAGGTTGAAATATCAGGGTTGGGATGTTGGTTAAAATATCAGGGTTGGGATGTTGGTTGAAATATCAGGGTTGGGTTTGAGGTTGAAATATCAGGGTTGGATTAGAGGTTAAGAGATGAGGTTTACCTCGCTAATATCCTCTGGAAGAGCGTAGACAGGAGCTCCGATCTTTCGAGCAATATTAACAGCATACTTTGCGTTAGACAAACACTCCTAAATACATTCATACAATCATACAGTCGTCTGCATTTATAAACTTTTTGAGATTTTACGTGCATTTGCGACAATAACAACAATATTGCTTAAATAGATTATTTTCTATAAAAATACACGATGAAAATGTGTGAACGGAAGACGAAATTAATGACAGAAATATATTTTTTTATTTAAAGGAATTAAGTTTTGTCACAAACGCTGATTTTCTATCTATATTTTTGCTACAAAATGTCGTAGATTTTAGATATTTCAAACTATGAATTCTGTTATATCAAATAATCTAAGTTTGAAATATCAAAGATTTACACCATTTGGTTACAAAGCTATAGGGATTTGAAAATTTTAGTTTATGGCAAAAACTCAATTACTTTATTTACTAACGCAGAGATTGGAACTTTTAAGTTTGATAGCGCTGACCTTTAACGCCGAACTTAAAATCCAAAACGGAAAATATTTAATTTGAAGCAATTAATTGCTTAATCAGTAAAAAAATTATTTGCGATCTATTATTGCTCAAAAGCTCATAGGTCGGACTTTTAGAGATATCCAATAGGAATTCACTTTTAGAGATATCCAATAGAAATTAACTTAAATCTGACGGATTAAACATGATACGGATTAGTGTTATCTGAAAGGATTAACAACAAAATAGTTCATATCTCTGATCATGTATGTGACCTCCTTCCAAAATCCTTGTGTTTACCTCGTTTGTGATGGTTGCCCCTTGTTTAACAAGTGAGTAATCAATTGAACCAGGTTTGATCACATCAATCAAATGAATGATCGGCAGTGCAGTCTTGTTCACCTAAAATAAAAATGTGGTAAACTGTTCTTGACAATATTTTCCAGAAATGTGGTAATTTAATTTCCCTGTTCTGGAAATATGGGAATTAATTTTCCTTGTCCTGGAAATATGGGGATGATTTACCTTGTCTTGAAAATGTGGGAATAATTTATCTTGTCCTGGAAATATAGGAATTATTTACCTTGTCCTGGAAATATGGAAATAATTTATCTTGTCCTTAAAATGTGGGAATAATTTACCTTGTTCTGGAAATATGGGAATAAGTTACCTTGTCCTGGAAATATGGGAATAATTTACCTTGTCCTGGAAATATGGGAATAATTTACCTTGTCCTGGAAATATGGGAATAATTTACCTTGTCCTGGAAATATGAAAATAATTTACCTTATCCTGGAAATGTTTGATGGAAATATCCTTCTTCCCTTGTTCAAGTTTAGTATTTGCCCAGGATATAATCTCACTCTCAACTATGGGAGTTCCATCAGGGTTCAACTAAATAAAAAATAATTAAAATGGACAACATTGCGCAAAATGAGATTAAAATTGTCGTCTTCCTGTCTGCGTTCTCAAGAAGGATTTTCATTATTAAAACCGTATATCATAGATATTACAATTTACAATACAATAGTTTTCTTTTTCAAATATCAAAGTTTTCCTGCAGCGCACTGGGAAGATTCTTCATGGATATTTAAAAACAAGTTTGAGATGAGAAGACAAAAAATTTTAAGATTTAAACATATATTTTAGATAAATGCTATTTTTTTTGCTGAAACCAGTTAAAAACAGACCTTTCTTCAACAAAAAAAATCTTACACGAAATATAAAAATATTACAATATTTTAATGAAAACAAAATCTATTTACTACTGAGTCAAATGATTCATTAAAAAGTTTTACAGTTTAAAATTTGATTTATCATCGACTGATGTTATTTTTGTTAATCATATTAAATCAACAAAAGATAAGAAAAAATAATAATTAATAAAATGCATGACATTCATTTTTATGAGAATTTATCAGTCGTCACAATTTAAAGCTAAAGACTTCTTTTCTAGTTTTCTACAGGTTGGTTGGAGTTCTGAATCCGAATTTAATAAATTTGAGCCGCGTCTCAAATCCGCCAAAACCGGTTTCAATCGAGAGCCGGCTTAAATCTTGAAACATTAAATACAATTTTAAGTGGAAACAACCATATTTGAGCCGCGTCTTTAATTTAAGCTGCGGCTCAAATTCTTTAAATTCGGCCTCTGAGGGTAAAAACTTTTGTCTGAGATTTCAAGGTTTAGCCAGCTACCTTTCCTGTTTACACACTATATCTCAATGGTGCCAGAGATCGAAATTTTTGTGTGGATATTATTAATATTGATCCCGATATACAATGTGGACACTTTTAAATTTGAAGAAATAATGCTTGATAACTCAATTAAAGTGATCCCTGCAGGGTATATCGAACTCCATTAATCGTAGATCGGCATAACATGGAGATCAAGGCTTGATCCGGAGAAACAAAACAAAAAAAAAGCTTTAACTTCGAGAAATGACAACTTTCCCCATTGCAAGGAGTTATTTTTCAATTCAAAAGCTTGTCTATTGAATAATGATTTCAGTCGCAAAAACGAAATAAAACAAAATGTGTACCCTCTTTTATGTCAAATAGCCAAAGTTTGAAATATCAGGATCCAAAGATATAGAAATTATGGATTTAGAGGTCGGAGATAATAAAGTTCCTTTTAAAATCTTTTCAGATTCGGAATTTGTAATTGGAGAAGATTCCGTTGTTTATGGAGTTTCTGAAGTACCCTACGATTCCAGAGTTTTCGGTTTTTCCGGAGTTTCCTGAGTTTCCGGTTCCCGGTTATCGTTTGGGAATTCTAAAGTATTTTTGATCAACAAGTTATGTATATATATCTGATAAGTGAAACAAAGAATTTTTTCCATTTTATTGCTGTACAAAATGTTTCGTGTTCTTAACACTCCTCACGGGCAGCCGTAGTACATTTGAATTTCCGAGCCGGGATAACCTGGTTATCCCGGCTCGTTATATCGTTATATAACTGTTAGTTTTTTTCTTGAGGATTTAATTCTATGTTTTGATAATTAAAAACTAATATCAGATCCTAAAAATCAAAATAACATTAATTGCGTAAAGATATAAAAAAAGATTAGAACAATGAGATGTCATAATTATATATCTCAGGACATTCAATTCAAACCTTGTTATCAATCATAATCTTTTACATAATTAAAAATAAGTATTATTTACTTAGAATCCTGAAACAGATTCGAACTAATATTTGTTTGAATTGATAATAATTCAGTAATGATAAGAGAAATTGCATTGAACCGTGATTAAAGTATTAAATTATAAAAAATAGAAATCAACAAGGAGAGTAATCAAAATAATTCAAAATATTTAAAATCGTATTTATATCTGTTTTTAAAATCTGTTTAATGGGGTTTCTCAAGTACTTATTCAACAAACATCGAATAGAGTGAAGAAAAACTACTATGACTTTCTATGATTTTCTAATCCCTATTTCTTTACAACCCGATTTCGTAGACCTTTGATATTTTAAATTGTAAATTCTGGTAGATCAAATAATGTAAATTTTAATTATCAAAGGTTTTCACAATAATGTTATATTAAAGATAAAGATTTGAGGAATAGACAACAACTCAAATCCTTTATAATTTAATTTTTACTCGTCATATACTGCATTCTAAATTTTACAATCAAAATTTGGCAGTAAAAGTTGGATTGCTGCTAAACAAGTTACGAAAATTCTCTCTTATTCTACAAAAAAAATCGGCTATTCAGCAGCAAAAGTTGGATAACTGCCAAATAAGAGATTCTTTGTTGAATTTTGGCAATTTTTTGTTGCTTTTTTGGCAGCAATCCAACTTTTGCTGTCAAAAAGGCGATTTTTTAATTTCAAAATTTAGAGTGTCTTATTATAGTTCGTTAACACTCCCCTTAAAGCAATATAAAATTGTTTTCTTGTGATTAAAAATTTCTGTATATTGTATACCTGCAATACCAACCAGGACAAAGTTTAGCTTTTTCCCCAAAACTACAGCGTAATTACAGTTCTCCAGAACCTAAAAAAAGAAAATTACAATTTTTTTCAACAAATCTTTCTTTCACTAACTAATAGCTTCACGTTGGTTTAACTTTTTTTGATGCAAGACCAGTTCGCAAGCAAAAAATAATGCTAGAAAATAAGAACTAATATTCACCAAAAAATGGCAAAATTCAAAACACGTTTTAAAGTCAACGAAGAACAAAATCATAAATAATTTTGTTCAAAACATGTTGAATTAGTACCAAAATATTTGCCTAGAACCGGCCACTCGTTTGTTTTTGGATATTAAAGAAATTGGTGACTCTTTTCCGTTAAACCAGTTTTTGCCTTTAATTAAAAAAAAAGTTGTTATAATATTTACGATTTCAACGTTTTCGAATTTATTGTTTCTAGACGGACTAACAGAGGCTTAAAAATGTGGCCGAAGGGCAAATTTTTTTTTGGGGGGAGGGGGGTTAGCCTCCCTGGAACAATTTGAGCCCCCCCCCCCCCCCTAGACGGATCTGAGCATTTTTACTCATAATGCTACCGTTAATAACAGTTTGCTTCTGCAAATAAACAAGTTTTCAAAAGATTTAGTTTCACCTGTTGATATTTTTTAGCCGGGAGGGTTGAATATTTAGTATTCACTTTATCCCAGTTTACTGTACCAGCCTTGATCACGTCGTAGATCTAGAAATATAGAATATTTATTCAGGGAGGCAGAAAAATATATATTTTTAAAGGGAGTGTTCGCGAAAAATGAAAAGGGGGAATAGGCTTAATGCGATAAAAAAGCGCTTTTGATAGGAGTTCATTAAAAATTGATAACTGCTCTCTTGAGGGAGGGTCTAACATCATTCTATTATGCTGAAAGGAATTAAGTTTTGCCACATATACTCTGATTTTCAAATTTATTATCTTTTCAACCCAATGTCGCAGATCTTAGATAATTCAAACTATGAATTATTTTAAATAAAATAATCTAAGTTTCAAATTGTAAGGGTTTACGCAAATAGGTTGCAAAGATAAAGGGATTAGAACATTTGAGTTTGTGGCAAATACTCCCTTCCTTTCTAACAATTACTTGTATGCGTCGAAATTTCAAGTATTATCCTAAATTAAAATTATAGATTATTAAATGCTCAACTTCTGATCACTACTGGCCGAAGACATAAAGGGTTTAAATTTTTGTAAAAATGTTTTTTTTCTGAATCACAATAATATTTATGTTCTTAAATTTTAAAACATTGAATACAATTTTAAGTGAACCAACCATAGTTAAGCCGAGTTTAAAATTTAAGCCGAGTTTCAAATTTAAGCCGCAGCTCAAATTCTTTAAATTCGGCCTCAGTGCACTGTAATAATAAACTGCGTAACGACGGGCTATACAAATTTAATTAAGAGTTACCTTGAAAATAACAATTCCATCGTAAAGATCCGAATATAGATAATTCACTCGTGGTTGGACTCCTAAACTATTCATCCAGTTCCGGTACATCTACACATTTATCCGTTACTTCCGGTAAATATAGAAATATAATCCGCTTTATCTAGAAATTACTCCGTTACTTCCGGGTTATCTAGAAATATATCCGTTACTTCCCGTATATCTTGAAGCATTTCCGTTACTCCCATTTTATCTACAATTATAACCTTTTCTTCCTGTACATCTTGAAATAGATATATATCCGTTACTTCCGGTACATCTTGAAACAGATATATATCCGTTACTTCCGGTACATCTTGAAATAGATATATATCCGTTACTTCCGGTACATCTTGAAATAGATATATCCGTTACTTCCGGTACATCTTGAAATCGATATATCTGTTACTTCCGGTACATCTTGAAATAGGTATATCAGTTACTTCCGGTACATATTGAAATATATATATATCCGTTACTTCCGGTAAATCTTGAAATATATGTATCCGTTACTTCCGATACATCTTGAAATATATGTATCTGTTATTTCCGGTACATCTTGAAATATATGTATCCGTTACTTCCAGTACATCTTGAAATAGATATATATCCGTTACTTCCGGTACATCTTGAAATAGATATATCCGTTACTTCCGGTACATCTTGAAATGTATATATCCGTTACTTCCGGTACATATAGAATTACATATATATCCGTTACTTCCGGTACATCTTGAAATAGATATATCCGTTACTTCCGGTATATCTTGAAACAGATATATCCGTTACTTCCGAGAAAGATATCCGTTAGTTTCAGTACTTCGAGAAGTTTATCAATACTTCCAACAAATATATCCGTTTTTTCCTTAATTAATAAATAAATATATCGATTAATTATATTTTGTCTAAAAATACATTCTATACTTAATTTTCTGTAAATGTACGTACACTTATCTAGAAAAATATATATCACGTCCGGTTGTCGTGCTTTTTTATTTATAGAATATCATAAATAGTTGACTGTATACAGTTTTAAAATATGAATATATCTCCCACAGTGATTCAAACGTTGCAAGTTCTAACGCAACAATCGTTGAGAATTTTGCAAATTACTTGTTAAACTAATACTAAAAGCAAGTGTTTTGTTAGTTATAAAATGTGAATGTTTAGGCGCCTAACAAATGTTTAAGTGAGTTAGTGACGTGAAACCAAAAGACAAGGCGTTTTGACACCTTAAAGTCGACCTAGTCTTAAAATTTGATACAAAATTTCATAGCAGTATGGTATTTATATTATTGCTCCTGGCTTTTTTTCATCATGATTTCCTCTTCTAAGATAAAATAGATAAAATCTCATTAGAGTCACATCAGATAGAAGTAAAATTAACGGTAAAATATGAAATATATTGATTTCCATTTTAATTCCTTCTCAACCCCTTTCCAATTGTCATTAACAGTTCCTTTAATGTTGATTTAGACCGAAGTATAATGTTTACCTTCTCTTCTCTAGTTTCCTCTATGATATCAACCTCTGCAGCAGGAGGATCAAGTCCAGGGAAATTATTGAACAAGTTTGCTACAAACGCCAGGTTTAGAGTCTCCTGACCTTTAACTACATCCTGGAGATAAACAAATATGTAATCTGCAGTACATTAATCAAACAATAACAATAAACAAGCATTAACAGTTTCAAATATTTCGTTTAACATGATGAAAGTGGTAACAATAGGAGCATCCTTACTTTATCAACTATGAGCATGTAAATTCTTAATAAAAACTTTCAGGAAATAAACTTTACTCTTTTTAAATTCTACCCACTTTTATTTTTTAAATTCTACCCACTTTTATCATTTAAATTCTACCCACTTTTATCATTTAAATTCTACCCACTTTTATCATTTAAATTCTACCCACTTTTATCATTTAAATTCTACCCACTTTTATCATTTAAATTCTACCCACTTTTATCATTTAAATTCTACCCACTTTTATCATTTAAATTCTACCCANAATGGACTTGGATGGACTAAATCTGAGAAGGATGGACTTGGATGGACTAAATCTGAGAAGGATGGACTTGGAGGGACTAAATCCGAGAAGGATGGACTTGGAGGGACTAAATCTGAGAAGGATGGACTTGGAGGGACTAAATCCGAGAAGGATGGACTTGGAGGGACTAAATCTGAGAAGGATGGACTTGTAGGAACTAAATCTGAGAAGGATGGTCTTGGAGGAACTAAATCTGAGAAGGATGGACTTGGAGGGACTAAATCTGAGAAGGATGGACTTGGAGGGACTAAACCTGAGAAAGATGACTTAGGATTACACAGGATGGACTGTAGAAAAGACCAGTATAGATTTAGTTAGACTAGGATTTAACGGTCACACTATATAGTAGGATAAACTAAGATGACCTGGAATGAACTAGGATGAACAATGATGAACTAGGGTGAATTAAGATGAACATAGATTAACTAGAATGAGCTAGGATGAAAAGAATTAACTAAAATAAACTAGAATGAACTTGGATGAACAATGATGAACTAGGGTGAATTAAGATGAACTAGGGTGAATTAAGATGAACTAGGGTGAATTAAGATGAACATAGATTAACTAGAATGAGCTAGGATGAAAAGAATGAACTAAAATGAACAGAATGAGCTAGGATGTACAGAATGAACTAGAATGAACTAGCATAAAATAGTATGAACTAGAATGAATTAGAATGAACTAGAATGAACTAAAATAATCTAGGATGAACTGGGATGAACTAGAATGAACTAGAATTAACTATAATGGACTATAATGAACTATAGAATGAACTAGGATGAACATTTAAACAAGAATGAACAAGTATAAACTAGAATGAACTAGTATAAACTAGAATGAACTAGTATAAACTAGAATGAACTATAATCCATTAGAATGAACTAGAATGAACTAGAATACATAAACCAAAATGAATTAGAATGAACTAGAATGAACAAAATGAACTTGAAAGTACTAGAATGAACTAGAATGAACTAGAATGAACCAAAATGAACTTAAATGTACTAGAATGAACCATAATGAACTTCAAAGTACTAGAATGAACTAGAATGCACTAGAATGAACCAAAATAAACTTGAAAGTACTAGAATGAACTAAAATGAACTAGATGGAGTTAGGACTAGAATAAATTAGTATGAACTAGAATGAACTTTAATGAACTATAATGAACTTAAATGTACTAAAATGATCTGTAATGAACTTGAATCCACCAAAATGAACTCGAATGAACTAGAATGAGCTAGATTCAACTAGAGTGAATAAAATTAATTTTTAAATTTTCACCTTTGAGGTAACAAATGCTCTTGAATCTATTTTATCTGCTTGCTCCAACATTATCTCGGCTCTTTCAATTAAGTCCTAAACAAAGATTTTTTATAGATTTGTCGATAATTTTACTTCTGTAACAAAAAAAAATTAAAAATGTTGTGACCTGTCTTTGCATCGCAGTTTTGTTTACTCCTGCGTTCTTGGGAGCGATCTGTGAGATTAGATCTGTATAGATCTCACTGTCCTTTATATCAGATCCGAAGTTCGATATGGTTCTCTGGGATCCAGCCTTAATTAAAACGGTGGTTTTATTTTGGAATTAATTTTCATATTCGAAAAGTGATTGAAAAGTAACTTTGTGATAAACTTATATTTAAAGAAAAAATTTAATGGTCAATGTAATATTTCAAATAGTCATAAATTTCAAACCTTTTCCAGTTGATGGTTGACCCATCGGAGCAGTAACTGCTCCGGGGATAGTTTCATCAACTCCGATATATCCTCTCCCTCCCGGAGTAGGTTTACTAGACCAGGCACATTACTGATTGTAATCTAGAAGTAGAACAATATACATATCATGATGCAAGGATACTCGATCTTTAGAACCTCTCTCAATAGAAGACGTACACAGGGGGGATTATGGGCCCCCCCTGGATTGGAAAAGTTTATGATTTAAAGGGGGTTTTCAGCACCCCTGGAAAGCAAAAAATAAGCCCCCTCTAGACAAATTACTGTGTAGGTCCCTACTTCCGATCCTTATGTGCGGTACGGTAAATGGAGAAGGGGGGTTAACTGTTTAATATTAACTTCCTTTGCAATTTTAAGTTTTTGCTGTAAAAGTGATTAAAAAGTAAACTATGACAGCAAACAAAAAAATTATTTCCCTTTGTTTCTTTCAAAACAGGTCATTGCCAACTTTTGTCACACTTTTCATTTACATTTTACAGTCCATTTACAACATATATGTTGCACTAATTATTTACATAAACTTGTAAAAACAGGTTCTAATTCTATAGTTTGAACTCGAAATCAACAAGGAGAAAAGTTTTTAAAGAATGTTATATAAAAAATTGTAGAATGTACAGGGTGTTTTTTATGAAGTGTTGTTTTTCGTTTCATTAAGAGATGGAAAAAATCCACCAAAACATTATAATCGTCTAGTACTTCTTTAAAACTAAAAGAAACTAGAAACTATAATACACTGTACAGTGTACTGCATAGTACGGTACAGTGGACTGTACTTTATATGCGGAACAATGTACTGTATTGTTGTGTGTTTACGGCACTGTGTACTTTATTGTATGGTGCAGTGTAAAGCATTGGGTTGTACAGTGTACTGAATTGTAAGGTATTATTGTAAGGTATATTGTACTGTACAGTGCACTACTTTGAACTGTACTGTGTACTGCATTGCACTAACCTGGTTAAATAAGAACATCTTGATAACCTGCCAAACCAAACCAAGAACCATCCATCTCTTACCCTGACATTAATATTATTATTATTATTATTATTAAAAAACTTATCGACCACTCTCCAACCTCCCACCCCTCTCCTAGCCCCAAGTACTATAAACTATACCTCTGATGACTGTAGGTTATGGCTATCCATGCCAATTACAGTGCATCCTATGGCTTGGGCAGAGTTTATGGCCAGGGTTAGATTCTCGTGTCTCTAAAGAGGTAAATAAAAACTTATCAAAAAAGTAATTTACAAAATTTACTTTGTTTATGCATTTATCTTTATTTTAACTTTTTAAATTACTAAACGGGGTTTTAATGTGTTTTTGCTTTAGTCTTTGTTTCTTATTTTGACGGACATTTTGTTTATATATTTCTTATCTAAAGTGGGATCTTTGGCCGGATATTTACAGGTCTAGGAACAGATATATTATATATACAACATATCTTGTTTATATCTTTATGAAATATTATTAAAAGATAGTTTTCATGGGTCTGTACTTTATTTCTCCTCATACCGGTGTGTAACTGAGAAACTTCAGTTGTATTTAGTACCTTGAAAATAGATACGTTCTTCCCTTTGTTAAGAACCCGCTCGTCAATAGTATCCGGAGCAGCCAGGTTTATCATCTTACACAGGATAACTCCATCATCCATCTTCTCATACATATCCGACCCGTCCTTCTACAAATACAATCCTTCAACTAATTGTGTAATCAGAAAAAGCGAAAGAGGAAACTTGGCATTTCTGAACTGACATGTTTATCGTCGGAGGAACTATTCAGTTTCATGGATACTAAAACATACACATATTAACTACAAGGTTACCCACAAAGTATGAGACTGTAAAGACGACTTGAAACTCTTAAAATATGAGGATTTCAAGGTTAATTTATGTCTTCTGTTTTTAATATTATCTTTAAATTAATTAATTAGTTAACAGTTGAAGGGATCGTGAGTGTAAGGAAGCAGGCAGTATACATTTCGTACAGTCGTTTATGAAGTCTCATCCTTTGTGTGCAACTTTCTGAATTTGTATGGACGTTACGTTCTTCAGTATAAGACGTTTTTAACAATTTTCTCCTTAAAGACGCAACAGATAGAAGTAAGATTAGTAGCGATCAAAAGCGCTTATTTTTCGCCGTAAGCCTATACCCCCTTTCATTTTTCGCGAACACTCCCTTTAAGTTAGAGTAGTTCCACGTTTTCAAACATTTATCTGATAAAACTTAAATCATATTCTTAGAATTGGAATATTGATACAATGCTATTTGATTTTATTAAATATTTAAAGCTTTAAGGGTTGGCACGGCGCAAAATCATGCCGGTAACCCTTCATTAAATCATTTCTTTGTAATGTTGAGATTGACATTTGGTTTAAAAAGAAATATCCCTATAGAGTGAACAATGAAAAAATTATCAATTGCTCCGAAAATGTATAAACGGACCGCTTGAGGATGAAATTGAATAAACGTACCGCTTGAGGATGAAAATGAATAAACCGCTTGAGGATGAAAAACGAATAATTGGACCGCTTGTGAATGAAAAATGAATAAACTAATCACTAGAGGAAGAAAATGCATAAACTGACCGCTTGAGGATTAAAAGCTAATAAACTGACCGCTTGAGGATGAGGGAGGGGTGGCTGCTCTCAGGGTTTTGGAGTGTTCCCAGCATTTTTTAATGGGAATCAATTAAAGATTTTCTTAGGTGAAAAATTAAATTTTTCTAAAAAAAACTTGGAAATAAGATAACTTATAAGATGTTGAGATGTTGAGATGTATTAGACCAGCTCAAATGAAACCTTTATATTTCTAGCTAAAAAAATTTTTTTACATTTACTAATAATCTTTCATTTATTCGCTAAAACAAATGTCGTCAGTTTGGCTAATCAAAACTAAATTATCGTCACAGGCTACTTAGACTGATATTGCGATTTTTTTTCCTGCAAATATCTGAACAAAGTAAGTTTTTAAGTAACCTTTTTAAAGGACTTTTCATAAAAGGTCGGATACATTTTTTACATTTTACTCCAAAACCCTGGGAGTAACTCCAAAATCCTGGGAGCACTCCAAAACCCTGGGAGTAATTCCAAAACCCTGAGAGCAGCCACCCCTTCCTAAAGGAATAAGCTGACGACTTGAGGATGAAAATGACTAAACTGACCGGTTGCGGATGAAAATGCATAAACTGACTGTTTAAGGATGAAAATGAATAAACTGACCGCTTGCGGATAAAAATGCATAAACTGACTGCTTGAGAATGCATAAACTGACCGCTTAAGGATGAAAATGAATAAACTAACTGCTAGGATGAAAATGCATAAACTGACCACTTGAGGAAGAAAATGAATGAACTGACTGCTTGAGGATGAAAATGAATAAACTGACCACTTAAGGATAAAAATGAATAAACTGACTGCTTGAGGATGAAAATGCATAAATTGACCGCTTGCGGATAAAAATGAATAAACTTACCGCTAGTGGAAGGAAATGAATAACATCCTTGTCTGTCTGAAGACGTTTATTAATCCAATCCGCGAACGCTTCTTCTTCTTCATGAAGCACAAAATGAGCAGCTCCCATATGTCCTTAATTATACACTATATCCTACTCTTGTATTCCGTTCCTTTGTCCTATCCCTATATCCTACTCCTATTTTCCACTCTACTGTATCCTACTATTCTATGCAACAAATCAAAACAGTCAAGTTCAGAAGTTTATAAATATCAAAAAAGCTGTGCAAACATGATTCAAAACATGTCTATTTTTAGACTTCTCATATAAAATTAGGTATTTTTGACTTCATATTCTGCGTATAGTAAGTATGTATATAGAATGTATACATTAACAAAATGAAGAAAAAATAAGTGTTGATCAAGACCAACCCCGAACAAAGATTTAAAATGATACAAATTGAGATAGTTTCGTGCATTTTTGAGCTGAGGTAACATAATGCTGTATATAACAAATATAAGAAAATAGTAAGTCCAAACTAGAGGGGGTTACTAACTTCCAAACTCATAAATATTGGAAGGTTTGAAGGAGTAAGTGTGAGGATGAATCACAAGGATTGTACAGTATTAGTCATCCCTTGACTCCGGTTCCTAAACTCTTGGAACTCGTTTAAACTTTAAATATTTTACCTGTTCAAAATCTTCCTTAGAGAGCCTGGTAGAGTTCCCATCCTTTCCTAACTCCTCAAGGATATTTCTAACCTAGAGAACATATAGATTTCATTCCTACAGATATTTTTGTTACCAGGGATATTCCTAGATACCAGGGATATTCCTAGATACCAGGAATATTCATAGATACCAGGGATATTCCTAGTTACCAGGGATATTCCTAGATACCAGGGATATTCATAGATACCAGGGATATTCCTAGTTACCAGGGACATTCCTAGATACCAAGGATATTCCTAGTTACCAGGGATATTCCTAGCTACCAGGGATATTCATATATACCAGGGATATTCCTAGTTAGCAGGGATATTCCTACTTACCAAGGATAATCATATATACCAGGGATATTCCCAGCTACCAAGGATATTCCTAGATACCAAGGATATTCCTAGTTACCAGGGCTATTTCTAGATACCAGGGATATTCCTAGTTACCACGGATATTCCTATCTACCAGGGATATTCCTAGATACCAGGGATATTCCTAGATACCAGGGATATTCCTAGTTACCAGGGATATTCCTAGCAACTGGGAATATTTCTAAATACCAGAGATATTCCTAGCAACCGGGAATATTTCTAAATACCAGGCATATTCCTAGTTGCCAGGAATATTCTTATCTTCTAGGAATATTCCTAGAAATCAATAAAGACTAGGTTACCTTGTAGTTCGGAAGAGCAATACCAACATGATCAAGCATAGATTTTAGGTCTGAGACAGGAAGGGTCTTTTCTCCGGGGAATAACTAAAACAGATAAAGCTAAGAAACATACCCAGAACGAAAACTATAGAACTAGAACTAGAACTAGAACATGAACTAGAACTAGAAATAGAACTAGTACTAGAACTAGAACTATAACTATAACTAGAACTAGAACTAGAACTAGAACTAGAACTAGAACTAGAACTAGAACTAGAACTAGAACTAGAACAAGAACTAGAAGTAGAACTAGAACTAGAACTAAAGATGATGTTTTGTTGTTAGTAATTATGAAAAACTGACTCATCTAACTGGATAATTATCACATCCTGTGTTAGAAGCATAAATCATAAAAAAAATACATCAACTTCAAGAACCAAGGCAAAACGGAGAAGGGGAGTCACCGCACCATGACAAAAAGATGCAAAACAATCAAAATCTGCGTCACAAAAATGAATAATCTAAGTTTTAATTTAGAGACTATATGGAAATCACCGTTGATCATCGATGGTTTGAATTAATAACAATCCAATATAAGAAAGCACATATTGCACAACCTTTAAGCTTAACAAAAGATGTATTGGATGTACAATCAGTTTTTGTATTATTCAATAAATTGAAATCTAAACAAAGTCCTTTGTATCTGTGGTAATTTTGCGGGCACAAAAAATGCAGACAACAGCAGATATTCCACGACAAGGATTACTTTATAGGAAAGCTTAAACTGATCAGACCAATCAAAATTGTACCAGTGTGACGTAAATAATGCCCAGGCCGGGTAAATGAATGACATAATTTATCTCAAGTAGACGACATTTCATTCTCATGTTCAGTTTGAATTTATCTATGTGCTTATTACAAAATGGAGTTTTTATTAACAAACCTCTTCCCAAGAGGAGTCAATCTTTTCTCTAAATTCTGTTTTCATATTGTAGAATTTATCCAGGAATACGAAGGAAACAACAGCTCTAGAGCATCTGAAAATAAAATTGTCATCATTGTAATATTTTATCCTGAAAATTATTATAAGAGGAATCTATGGAGTGAACATTGTACACTATTCTTATACTGTATTTTTGTTCGATACCAAATTGATAGGTATAGAAGCAAACTTCTCAGAATTCTTTTTATATGATTACTGATAAATTATTAGATAAATGTATCAGGTTGGTAAGTACATTGAACAATGATCATAAAACATTGATTGAATTGATTTTATTTTAATATTAAATATCTCTAACTAGCTCGACATGCGAGATTTGATTCTAATCTTTTATACTACTTATCATTTTTAAAAGTCCTATCCTTATCTTCTTCTCTTATCTCCTTTTCATACTCATTGTCCTTCTCATAATCCTTGTCCATCCCTACTCCTTGTCCTTCTCATACTCCTTGTCCTTCTCATTCCCTTGTTCTTCTCTACTCCGTGTTCTTCTCTACTCCTTGTCCTACTCTACTCCTTGTTCTTCTTTACTCCTTGTCCTTCTCTACTCCTTGTCCTTCTCTACTCCTTGCCCTTCTCTACTCCTTGTCCTTCTCTACTCCTTGTCCTTCTCTACTCCTTGTCCTTCTCTACTCCTTGTCCTTCTCTACTCCTTGTTCTACTCTAACTAATTTGATTATCAGCTATGTATTAGGCTTAAACTGTGAAGGAGAAGAATGAACTAAAGTTTTATCAAGACACAACCCAACCCACTTCAAAGCTTACACACACAACTACACGATAAGAAACCCGTAACTCGCAGAGAAAATCAGAATTTGGAGAAATTATATAATTATATCAATATGCGGAAGCGTATCTTGGATTAAAATTAGTAAATGTAAACCGGGGAAAATATTGACAACGATTTTTTGCGGACATTTTTTCTTTCTTAAAATTTGAAAGTTGCATTCTCAGAAATGCAGTTTTTAATTCATTCTCATTATGCAACTTGTTACATGGAACACACCTTTATCATTTCATTATCTCATTCACTGGTTTAGTAGAAATCGTTTAAGCTTAAACGGAACAAAGAACTTTCAAAATATCAAATAAATTAATAATAAGCAGAGAGTTCTGTTTTTAAATTTACATTTTTTTCAGTAAAAAATAATGCAAAAAAAGAAGCTCTACACTAGTATATAGTACAACATTATTCCGACTCAAATCCGCACTTTTAATTTCTTTACACATTTGAAACTTAATTGATTTTAACGATCTTCACATCTATTCACACGTAAACATTGACCTAATTGTAAAATGCAAACCTTGAAATATCTTCTGAAGCCTGAAACTGAACAAAATTTTTAAACACCATGAATCCATTAAGGATGACATTGACAACTTAAATTCAAACCTATAGAAAGCTAAAAGCACGGACAAGAACTATGCCTGATTTAAAACCTTAAGATTAGATACCAAACAAAGTTGAGTTTAACTTTGATTTTTAATTGACTCTCCATTTAAATATTGTGAAAGATAACATCGTTTTTCTGGCTTGAAAAGTGTTTAATTCTGATCATTTCTCCGATATTTCTTTAGCATGTAATGCACTTGTTACTTTTGCAGTTTTCAAAAACAAAATTATGGATATCTAACTTGATCAGACAAAGCTATTGCATTGCTTGCAAGAAAAGGTCACCTGACTGCTTTCATCATGTTGAACCGAGTTCTATAGCTCCAGGTAGAAATAATTATTATTTATTTGATAATACTGTTCAATCCAAGACAGTTCTTACTCAAAGGTTTAGTTTTAACTGGCAAATTTTAGGTTAAGTTAAGATTAAGAAATTTTGAAAAGAACCCTCCTGCTTAGAATTATCCCATGTAAAAGTATCAGTATTCATCACATATTTCTAGAAAACTATATTCTTGTACAGCATCACACCCGGTTGGCATCAAACGAAAAGCGTGGTTCCTACAAAATGACAAAAGGTGTTGACAAAAAAGGTAATAGAAATTAGATTGTAGGGAAGTGGGATTGAAAGCGTCAAAAGAATATTATAACAAAAAACTATCCGCATGGTTTAGAGTTTTTAAATATGCTTTCTAAATTTTTAAACTTTTTGACGCTATTTCACCATTTTATCTTTTGATCCTATATTCTTTGGCTGTTCTTTCAATATCCTATCCTGACCTCCTGAAACTGTCCTAAACTGTCCTATTAATATCCAGCCCGGTCCCAAGAATATCCTATTCTGACCTATTATAATATAAATGGCAATGTCAATTGTTCTTAAACCATCTTATTAAAATCAGATCCTGTTCTATCAAAATACTTTCTGAACTATTATCATCCTATTTTGAGCTGTTAAAGTTCTATCCTGTCCTCGCCTACCTTGATAATATCTTATCCTGTCCTGTCAATACCGTATCCTGTACTCCGTATATCTTATCCTGTCCTGTCAATACCGTATCCTGTACTCCGTATATCTTATCCTGTCCTGTCAATACCGTATCCTGTACTCCGTATATCTTATCCTGTCCTGTCAATACCGTATCCTGTACTCCGTATATCTTATCCTGTCCTGTCAATACCGTATCCTGTCCTCCGTATATCTTATCCTGTCCTTCTAATTTCCTCTTCTACCCTGTTGCTGTCCTTGCCTACCTTGATAGTATCTTATCCTGTCCTGTCAATTTCAAATCCCGTCCGTTACTGTCCTATACCTGTCCTAATCCTGTCATATTCTTTCATATTATTGTCCTATAGTCCTAATAATGTCCTATCCTATAATCTCCTGTTTTGTTACTGTCCTATCCTGTCCTTTAAAAATTCTATCTTCCATGCTATTCCTTGATGTCCTGATATCTTGATCCATTCCTATCGTGTATCCTATTAATCTGTTAATCCAAAATCCAATGACCAATATTGTTTACATGTAAACTGAGTTAACTAATAATATGCTATATCTCCAGAACAACATATGTGACTACTAGTCCTACTAGTGCTCTGATATTCTTCAATTGTTAAAACTTGACGTTTAGTATTCCACAATATGTTTCTGTATAGGGGAGGGGATGTAAATAAAGATTACAGATGAACTACAAATCCCGAGTTAATCGAAATGTTCCACACTTTCTTTAAAATTTATTATCTACTTGTTTTTTCCCAAGATTTTTACTAGCTTTTTTCTAGATTTTCACTTGTTGTTTCCTAGATTTTAACTAGTTTTAATCTACTTTTTTACAATTTTGTCAATATTTTACTGGATATCTGCTGATTTTCTTCTTAATTTCTACCGATCTTTAAATTTTTTTCCGCTATTCAAATTTTCTACTAGTTTTCTTCTTGTGTTCTACAAGTTTTTCATTCATTATCCTCCAGTTTTCTAGTAGTTTTAAGGTAATTTTCGACTAGTTTTTCTTCAAAATGTCTACTAGTTTTTCCACTTTTTTCTTCTAATTATCTTCTAGTTTTCCACTAGTTTCTTTAAATTTTCGACTACTTTTCTTCTAGTATCCACTAGTTTCTTCTAATTTTCTACTGGCTTTCTTCTAATTTTCTTCTAGTTTTCTTCTAATTTTTTTACTAGTTTTTTCTAATTTACTTCTAATTTTCTTCTAATTTTCTGTTAGTTTTCTTCTAATTTACTACTAGTTTTCTTCTAATTTTCTTCTAGTTTTCCACCAGTTTTCTCTACTTATCCGCTAGTTTTCCATTATTTTTCAACTTGTTTTCACTATTTATACACTAGTTTTCATTAGTTTTCCTATAGTTTTCATATAATTTTCTACTAGTTTTCATATAATTTTCTACTAGTTTTTACTACTTATCCACTACAGCTGAATCAAAGGAAAGGGATATTGAAGCAGACTGATCAATGTAGATGATTGAAATTATTATTTACCTATGTATTTTTATGTTTTTTTCCAGAAACTATAAATGATTATTTCTTGCAATTTAATCTGTAATTAAACCAAGTACTTAAAAAATACTCTTTTGCGATTCGCACACATATTCAATGAATTGACTCACATCATTCATTTTACAGCTGTTGGAAGTATAGATTTTGTAAAAACACAAGAACAAAAAATCGATTTGAATTGAACACAGCCAAATCTGCATGCAACAACTTATAATTTCCTTTTTTTCGACTTCAAACCCTTAAAAAAGCACTTTTGTTTTTGAAAAATTTTCGAAAAAGGAGGGGAAACCCCCCTTTAACCCACCCCCAAACCCTAACAAAATAATATATTGCCCCCCCTAGCAAAAGTCCTAGTTGCGCGTCTGTATAATACACTTACACTTGCATACATACCATATTTTTTACATTATATTATATTAACCATATATTATCCATATTTATAAAATACATAAAGTATATAATCCATAAATCGATTATAAATTTATTTATCAATATTTGGATATAAATACATCGTACATATATAAGGGTTCATGTGGGATCGTGGAAGAAGAGGGGTCGGAATGAGAATTTTAAGGATTAGAATTCTAGAAACTGCATCGTAGAATAAAGGTTTAGGTGTATCCCACCCCTAGGCTTGTTAATCGTTTTGATAGAATAAACAAAGTGGACCCAAAAAATTGTGGAATAGGAAGACGACTAGTTAGAAGCTCACGGTATAATAACCATGAAACACAAACATTTTTCAGTTTAAAGGATCTTTTAAATTTATAAGTTGATTTTAAAGATAAATACTGCCTAAACCATTCGCTTTATAATACAAGATTCTTTAAATGTCGTCTTTATATTCCACATTTTGACGTCGCATCGAAACTGGCTTTACTTACTCTCTCATGGTGTTAGATGCTGGCATGGTTGATTTATTGATTTGAAAAGATGGAAGACGACGGAAGAAATTTCAGTAAAGACGAACTTTTTATACAGAGTCTGTGCACTATCACGGAAGATTAAAATCCAAGAATAACCCTTGCTGTTTGTTCATACAGGAAAGTAAAATTTTAAACTGAACTCAAAACCTAAACTTGTAGTTTTAAGTCATAGAAAACAAGGGGGGTGGGTCCGGTTCCCAAGAAAAACTCGACGCGATGGTTCAAATAATTTCAAGCTGACTCATATCTTCATGAATATGTGCGCACTGCGCACGCGCTGGTGCGGAGTCGTAACATGACAGAATCTCACATGAGTGCTTTGAATAATGAAGCGATGTAACATTTTTCTCCGCACTATTTGCAATTATCTATACAATTACTATAACATTTTTGCAACAAAACTAAATAAAAAGTTGATAAGAAAAGATCCAGTACTTCATGAATGATGTCATGCGTATTTTCAGAGTTTAATTTCCTCCATTGTAACAAAAGCAGGATGGATATCTCAGTAATTCATTCTATATGTTTCTCAGGGTATCGCTGTGAATCGGATATGTCACTCTAAAAATGAAGAATTGCATGCAATTACAGCGGACAGCCCCTTTAAAGAAATTATAATTGCATGCAATTACAGCAGACAGCCCCTTTAAAGAAACTAGAATTGCATGCAATTACAGCGGACAGCCCCTTTAAAGAAACTAGAATTACATGGAATTACAGCGGACAGCCCCTTTAAAGAAACTAGAATTGCATGCAATTACAGCGGACAGCCCCTTTGAAGAAACTAGAATTGCATGCAATTACAGTGGACAGCCCCTTTGAAGAAACTAGAATTGCATGATATTACAGCGTAAACAAAATACAGAATACAGAATTTTACAGAATCATGAATCTAGTTTATAATTATAAAATACTAAATATTTATTACCCATCCTATCCATCCCAAAATATGGAATACAAATTACAGAATACAGAATATCTATTATAATTAGTCAAAATACAGAATTAAGAATTTAGCTGAAAACTGAATACTGAATACTGATTTATGAAAAATAAAAGAATATAGATCTAAAAATTTTAAAATACAGAATATAAAATACTGATAATACTGAAATGCAGAATACACAATACAGAAAAATGTTTTTAGAATTTAGAATACAGAATACAGAATTCTGATTATATAGTCTACACAAGGCACAATTACTTACAAATGCTGATGCAATGTCTTTTTAATTAAATTGCTTTAACCAAACAAAAGGCCAAGAGAAAACTGTTTTTTTGCAACTTTACTTTAATTTAGAGAACAGTGTATAAAAATATATTATACGTTATAACTGGCTACTTAGAACTGAATAAAAGATGAAAACTGGATAAATTTTAAAAACTATACAGCTGTCATTTAATTATATAATTAGGGAAAGGGGGAGACAAAAGAGAATATTTTTGCATTATTACTGAATGCAATGAACATACATACACACATACATACAAGCACCTACACGTATTTCAGATTACTATAATTATGCAGGGTTACCCACAAAGGATGAGACTTCAGAGACGGCTGTACGGAATTTTACAAAATAAATTAATTACGTTTTTCTCTAAATGGATTTTTAAAAATAAATTTATTCTTGGTTAAAAACTTTTGAGGGGCTCAAACCATATTGTTTTATTCTCTTTTAACTGGTTTCTTGATTCCATTAAAGCGTTGGAAATTCTCACCTGCAATGAAACCCTCCCTGTAACCCCTCTCACCCCTCACTACATGTATATACACCTAATACAGGGTGTCCCACATATATTGGATCAAATTAAGAGCTCGTATTTCAATGACGTTGTTTTGGAAATTTCTTTATATTTACGAGATTGTCTGTAACTGTAAACTTATTCTTTGCCAAATCATTAGATAATCCATTAAAAACTATTTTCAAGGCAGAAGATTAAATGTAACCTTAGGATTGTCATAATATAATAGTTTGAAGTCGTCTTTACAGCCTCATTTTTTTGTGGCTAACCCCGTATATGGGAAGTCGTCGATGTTTCCGTTTGTCAACCAAACGAAAGAATATTTCCTAACTAAATTATAGAAATGTACACTGAATTTACACCACACAAAAACTAACTTTCTAAATAAATTTTTTATATATATCGCCTTAAACTAAGCTTTCGGCGTGTACTGCAGTAATCTACAGTGTACTGCAGTAATCTACAGTGTACTGCAGTAATCTACAGTGTACTGCAGTAATCTACAGTGTACTGCAGTAATCTACAGTGTACTGCAGTAATCTACAGTACACTGCAGTAATCTACAGTGTACTGCAGTAATCTACAGTACACTGACCGAAGACATTATGGGTTTTAGTGGAGGGTGACATATATGTATATATTCCATAAGGAGATTAAATTGTCAGGCTTCGACATCTGTCTTGTGTTTACATTACCGCCCAGAGACAGTACACTGCAGTACAAAAGTTGCGAACACCTCTGAAATAACTTTCCTTGCATCATAACCTTGTGATAATTTACAATAATTTTAAGTGATGTACTTCCTCCAATATACGTGTACATTGAATAAATAATTATATACACTGAACTTCCTTTTGTAGAGAGACAAATTATCCCATAACCAAACTAAACTGTCTTTTTAAATCTGAAGTTCAGTGTTAGCTCTCGGAACTTCGGAATTGCATCAATTTTCAAGACTGTGTCGACTTTAAAGTATCGCAACGCCTCGACTTGGGCTTTTACCTCACTAAATCACCCAGACTTTTTTAGCCCTAGACAGTAGACATGCATTTCATAACCATAAAGCCATAGATTAATAACAATATAGATAAAAAAACTAGATGTCGTCTTTTCAAGACTTAGGGGTTTTTCGTTCACAATAAACCTGAGTCAGAAACTCAAAGGAGTTCCGCCACAGACAGCGCATGCTCTCTCTGTGTCTTGTAATTTACCGCTGCCTGCGGCGGAACCCTTTGGGCTTCTGCTCAGGGTTATTGTGAACGAAAAAGTCCTACATTTTGAAAAGACGACATCTAGTTTTCTATCTGTGTTGTTATTAATCTATGCACAAAGCACTTGTGTTTAGCTTTAATTTTTAAGAAGTAATTGGCAATATTATCATCGATTTTGTTCAGCTTTCAACCTTCGGATCAATGTGTACGAATAGCTCATCATTGGAAATATAGCTTTCAGAGGATGTAGTTCTTCTAAAAAATTGTCAAATTGGGGGAAATCATTATAAAAATCATAAATAAACTTTTTTTCCACTTCTGTCCGTGTTTCTGAGAAAACTTCAATACTGTTTGGAGTACCATGCTCTTCTTAGAGGGAGGGAGTCCAGAGTTCCTCAAATAGTAATCACCGCCACCCAAATCTGTTTTGCGGCAAGCGCGCTCCTCAATTGGTATCTCCACCTCCTCAATTAGTAATCACCGTAAAATTTTGTTTTCTGTGATTTGAATTTAATGCACTTTTAACACAATTTTCGACATCTATCGGGGTTTTATGGCATCTGTATTGACTTAAACTAAATTTTCAAATTATTTTCAGATTTGTTTGGTCAACAAAAACTGAGAATCAAGGCACAGTTCATTTTAGCCGAATCTTAGATCCAATTCGCCACTTTAATGACTGCATTTCATGATTGGCGTCAAGATACAAAAAAGGTCGGGCTGCCT